TCTTATCACCTTAACAAATTATTATTATTATTTATTAACAACAAACAAACAAACAAACAAACGCGTTTTTAATAATTAAATTTTAATTTTTTTTTTTTTTCGTACAAACGAGTCAATTGAAACATTTTTTATTTTTATTTTCTCTAAAAATGGATTTAAAATTCTTTTTTTTTTCTCATCATCATCATCATCATCATCATCATCATTATTATTATTATTATGTAAAATAAAAAGAAAAAATATAAAACCTTGGATTATGGGGGGGGGGGGGGGAAACAACCGATTTGTCATTATTTTTTACCATTGTTAAATTATTATTAGTAATTGATACTAATTAAGGTGAAAAAATTATTATTTACATAAAGTTATTATTATTATTATTTATTATTAACGTATTTATTTACGTTTACGTTAGTTTTTAAAAATAAATAACGCGATTTTATTTATTATTATTAAATTTCGTTCGGGTAAATAATAAACATATGTCGTATGTTATAAAAAAAATTTGGAACGGAAATATATATAATAAACAATCACCGACTTTTCAAACCGAATTCAATATTCAGACTTATTAATATAATTAATAATAATAATAATAATAATAATAATAATAATAATGTGTGTGTGTACGTGCGCGTACGTGCGAGAAAAGTACGGAAAAAAAATTTTTTACTAATTGAACTATGAACTTTAACAATAATATTTTCACAAGTTTTTTTTAAACTAATATTTACACGATAATTTAACACGATGTCAATATGAATCAGTTTTTTTGTTCATTATCATTATTATTATTATTATTATTATTATTATTATTATTATTATTATTATTATTATTATTATTATTATTATGAGTATTCGTTCAGGTAAAATAAAATTTAAATTTAAAAAGGGGCTGGTGTTTTTGGAAAAAGTCAAACCCGGAAACACGGGTTATAAAAAAAAAAAGAAAAAGTTTTGAAAAAAAAAAAAAAAATTATTTGCAAATGTTACGAATACGCCCACGCACGCACACGCACATACTCGCGTTATACTAACAATAATAAAAATTTTTAACATTCGTGATTAAATTTAAAAAAAAAAAAAAAACCCAAACATGAAAAACTTTTAGTTTTTATTGTTCGAGAGCATTGAACCGTAAAAATATTGTTTTGAATTATCTTTCATTATTGTTAAACAATGTAAAACCCTCATGATGGATGAAAATGAAAAAGAAAAAGAAGAAGAAGGAGAAGAAAAGAAAGAAAGAAGAAAGAAAGAAATAGAAGAAAAAAATAATTCTAATGATGTATAATAAAAAAAAAAAATTTTTTTGTTTTCCTTTGTCTGTCTGTCTGTGTGTGTGTGTGTGTTATTACAATTCTTTTTAATAAAAACATCTATTAAACAAAAACCACCTTTGAAAAACAATTTTTTTGTTAATAAAATGAAACTAATAATAATTTAAAATACACACACACGCACACACACACACACACACACACACACACACACACATTTTTTTACTATCTAAAAAATATCTAAGTAGTTCAGGCAAAGTTTTTTCTTATATTTTTTTTTCTTTGTTATTCATTGTTTTGTTTCTTTGTTTTTGTTTTTTTGTTACACTTTACAAAAAAAAAAAATTACTAGAAAAATTAAGATGTAGTAATAATAATAATAATTTCGTTTTTTTTTTTTGGCAGTGATGCATATAATAATTTACAAAATTGCATAATTGTTATGAAATAATGATGATGATTATGATGATGGCGTCGCGTTAAATGTAAAATTAAAAATCTTTTTTTTTTTAAAAAAAAAAAAAATAAAAAAATTTTGTTTTATGTGGGTTAAATGAAATTTTTTTGACCGAGTTCAATGGGGTCGAATCATTTAATATATTATAATCAAATTATTCGATTTGATGTTTTTTACGTGAATC